CCCTGTGGGGTCTGAACAACTGCGTCACAAGACGATTAAATGTTGCTGGTGCATTTGAGAGCCCTTGAAGCATCACCAGCCGATCCCAGAGCATGCTGCTTGAAGTGCTTACCGTTGTCAGCGGAATGTCACTCGCTCTCATGAACAATTGGCAATACCCATCGACCAAGTCGAGTGCACTGTACTTCGTACATCCCACCATGTCGTTCTGAGAACATCCTTTCTAGGAATTAGCGTTTGTGCCGGAATGGTGGCAGCGTTGAGCTTATTGTAAGCATGAACGCTACGCCACTTGCCGTTCGGCTTCCGAACACCAAACGTGGATGTCGCATGGGGAGACTTGCTCTCACGTACCATCCATGCGTCGTGCTTCGCACGGAAAAGGGTTGCACTGCTTTTTGGGCAGGGGTCATTGGCGTGTTACGCAGTATTTGTATTCCAAGACAGCTTCATCCAGAAGCGATGACGAGTTTATCTCCAAGTCCGGTCGTATAATGACCACTTCGGCCAAATCGCCTGCCTTCAAGGCACTACCGAACTCTTCAAGGGACATCTCACCCAGCTCAAGAAGAGCATCTACTGCAGGCATAGCCTCGAGGCGGACGTCGTCATCTTACTCCCCCATCATACCGTTGATGTGGGTGTATAACTGTGCGCCGTCGTCTACGGTAGCAGAGCCTGGATCAGGGTCGACGCCCGGCGTATTGAAGCCAGCATACGGCGTCGCTGTCCCCTCTGTACAGAGGGTCTATGTCTCGGTGAGACCAGGGTGAAAACGCACTCCGCGTCGTTCGGTATCACCCTTACTTTCCGCTCCTTATGAGCCCCGATGTTATCAACACCATCCGACGAAGAACTGCTAGCCCCGCAGTCGTCGTCCAGTGGATAACGTGCCACTCTACGCGCATCTGAAGGGCCGTGCCTACGATGCCTCGGCCTTTGTCCGACCTCGTCATCAGTGGCATGCAGCGACTCCTTCGCAACGAAAGCAGTGCTCAGTGGTTTTAGAGCCACTCCAAGCGCATCACGAGGGCCTCACCCTCATGCCTCGGCCCCTGACCGACCTTGTCACGCATGACATGCAGCAACTGCTTTGAAACTTGACCAGCGCTCAGTGCGTTACGTGTCACTTCACGTGCACCACGTGGGCCTCGCCCTCGCTGATTCGGCCCTTGGTCGATCATGCCACGCATGACATGCAGCGACTGCTCCTAAACTTGAGCATCGCTCAGTCGGTTACGTGGCTGATTTTCACGTCTACGAGCTTCCGTTTCTTTCTTCCGTTGCCACTCGACGATCAGCCCGCGAGCCACGCTCGGGACTCGAACACTACAATGTCCAGCACGTTGACCGTCTCGGACCAGTGCTCTCGCCAATAGCGCTTTTGTCTCCTAGCAGAGCTGGGTTCATGACTCGCCAAAGCTCCACCAGAGGAAGTGCGCGTAGTGTCTGATGTCTTTTACCTCGCATCAATCCATGGCTCATGGCGTTCCAACCATGCCGTACCAAGGTGGGGTCATACCCTAAATCCAAGTCTAAGACTTAGAGCGTTCCACGCTATCAAAGAAAAGAAACTCGACACCGAGGTCCACAGGGACCCTCAGCGCAGTGACACAATTCCCGACACTACGCGAACAGTGACGATGTCACCCAACCGCGCATTCAGCGCCTCAGCATACAGCTAACTTCCCTTCATCGTGGAGCGTCGAGCATAATTGCCAGACGCCCCAGAATCGATGAGGATCTCCCATGGCTTCTCGAATCCCTTTACAGTCGCCTCCACGACCAACAAGCCTGGCTTGCACACACGTTCCGTGTTTAAGAGCACGGAGCTCTTCGGGACTGGGCCCTGTTGACCTCTACCTCCCTGAGGCTCAACATAACTCAGTTTTATCCAAGTAGGCCGCGTGCCTACTGAGTGGTGTCGTTTCTTCGCGACAATCCAGACTGGTAGGCGTTGGGGCGATGGCTTTAAGCATCTTGACGCGCCTTGCGCAGAGGGTAACCGTGTCGAAGGTGACGGGTGTCTAGACAGACAAAACACCGACGAATGTGAGTATGTTGCCCGGCAGCTCGGAGCTCTGCTCACTCTTCCTCAGCATAGCTGAGGTCCATGGGCATAGGCCCGCTCGACGAGCTGTTGGAGTGTGCATTCTAACCAAGTCATGCCGCCTTGAAATCAAACTCGACATTCAATGCCACATTCACCGCCTATTCAAACGACAACTGTGACTACGCCAGTGCGAAGACCTTTCATAAAAACGGTCACTGTGACCGCCCCTGGAAGGGGATCTGCTGCCATCCCGGCAATGAGAGTTCGCATCTTTTGGACAAAGGCAAGAAACGCGAACGCACGCGATATGCCTGATTGGGCGGCTAGAACACTCGTGAGAGCTGCATTTTTTGCTCCGCCTAGGAGGGAAACGCAGCTCCGTCCGAAATGCCGCACGTCAGTGCCCATTCACGCGCTCGACCATCGAGATTTGGGGTGCTAGCGCCACGCGCTGTTGCTCGGTTTTGGAGCATGGCGGATGCGATTGACATCTCGACCTCTCTCACCCAGAGTACGAGATTCTCTCCATTCTTCCCCTCAAAGACATCAACGCACACCATGAGCGGCTTAGGACGGGGAACATCATCCGTCACCGACGGTGGCGTCATAGACGCAAACGATGCAGACATCTTCTGCTGTAGGTGCTCTAGCAGCGCGTTTTCGTAACTCGAAAACGCCTCTTGACACGCACCGATTGTTTCGAGACCTTGAGCTACAAGTTGTTGCAAGCCCTCAGGGCTAAGCAAGGACATCAGCTTGTTAAGCCCGTTCTGCATGCCCTGGAGCAAAGAGGAAAATTCCTTCATCCTCACAGAGGATCAGTCGAAACGACTCATATGTAGATTGACTACAAGTGCA